GCTCACCGCAGCCTCGACCTGCTGGGCTCCAGCGATCCTTCCGCCTCAGCCTTCCGAGTAGCCGAAATTACAGGCATGCACTACCACGCCCGGCTGATTTTTTGATTTATAGTAGAGATGAGGTCTTGCTGCCGTATTTTTGTTATGAAACAATGAGAGATTTTGAACAAGGAAACTTTCTTCTAATTTGAAGATACACTTGGTTTTGCTTTATGATTAAACTGTTTGCTTTTAGCTGTCTGAAGGAAGTTAGAAACAAATCAAGGGTGAGCATGGTGGCTCATGCCTGTAGTCCTAGCACTTTGGTAGACTGAGGCAAGAGGATTGTCTGAGCCCAGGAGTTCAAGACCAGCCTCGGCAACATGGCAAAACCTAATCTCTACAATCAATTGAAAAAAAAATTAGCCGTGTGTGGTAGTGCACATCTGTAGTCCCGGCTACTTGGAAGACTGAGATGGAAGGATCACCTGAGCCCAACAAGTTGAGGCTGCAGTGGCCTTGAGTATGCCACTGCACTCCAGTCTGAGCGACAAAGTAAGACTCCAACTAAAAAAATAATAATAATAATAATAACAAACACATCAAATTATTAGCTCCTCATTTCTCAATGGAAAAACTGGGAGGGATCTTAGACCAGGAGTTTGAGTTTTAAGAGCTTTTGCTGTGAACTTTAGCACTGGAAATTCTCATGCAGTTATTTGTGAGCAGGTATCCTGTGTCAAACTGAGTACATGATAAAGCCCTTTAATGAATAGTGTTGGCATCTTTTATTTATTTTTACTTTGAAAATACCTTTTACTTCTACTTTTTGTACAGCCCAGCAGAGACAACTTAAATAAAATACCATATTACCTTTCCTAGTCCAGGGAAGGTATGCATCACTAAAAGTCAGATTTGTAGTCTTAAGAGCTTAAATAAGACATAAGAAAGGTAACACACAAAGTGCATCTGTTTCTAAAGTGTCCTGAGTTTGGTTTTGACAGAGATGACATTGTACTTGGAAGTGCCCTTCAATAAACAAATAATGGGCTGCAAAGGCTGTCTATTGGTCACATTTATTTTGGTGTTTCTAAAGTTCTGGGTGGTGTTTTGTTTTGTTTTGTTTTCAGTTGAAGTCTCTCGCCCAGGCTGGAGTGCAGTGGCACACTCACAGCCACTGCAGCCTTGACCTGCTGGACTCAGGCAATAGCCTTCTGCCTCAGCCTTCCAAGTAGCTGGGACTACGGGCAGACGTCACCACACTGGGCTAATTTTTAACTTTCATTTTAGAGACAAGGTCTTGCCAAGTTGCCCAGATTGGTCTTGAACCCCTGGGCTTAGGCAGTCCTCTCATTTCTGCCTCCCAAAGTGCTGGGATTATAGATGTGAGCCACCACGCCTGACCTGTTTTTTTTTTTGAATTGGAGTCTCACTCCATTGCCCAGGCTGGAGTGCAGTGGCACGCTCACAGCCACCCCAGCGTCGACCTGCTGGGCTCCGGAGGTCCTTCCACCTCAGCCTTCCAAGCACGCACTACCATGCCCAGCTAATTTTTTGATTTATTGTAGAGATGAGGTCTCGCCAAGTTGCCTAGGCTGTTCTCAAACCTGTAGGCTCAGGCAGTCCCCTCACCTCAGCCTCCCAAAGTGCTGAATTACAGACTTGAGCCACTGTGCCCGGCTGATTTTTTTTTTTTTTAATGTGAAAAAACTGTATTGAGTACACTCAGCCATCCCCCATTCACGCCTAGTTGAAGTGAAGATTAGCAGGAATTTATTTCAGTGTAAGTTTGGTTCAGCCAGGAAAGAGCATTGTTGTGATACCACCATGTTATACTGACTGAAAGATTAGGCATTTGCATGGTTTACACTCTATTGATTGAGAAAGAGGACTATGACAAGAAAAAAATTTGATAATAAGGCTTTTATTCTAAAAAGCAAATTCTAGGATGTTCTTTGGGATATGCTGAGTTCTATCAATATCTAAACTTTATACTATAGAGTGATAACTGATGTTTGTGATGATTCTTATATAGAAAAAGATAGTTTTATGATTGCTATAATGTGCTTCAGCAGATCATTATATTTAAGAAGATTTTCAATAAAGGTTTAAACCAAGATTGCTATGCTTGAAAAAATAGTTCTTAGACTGAAAATATAATTCAGCCAAGAATCTCTCCCTAAATATTTGAATGAATTGGAGTCTTACCCACACAGTCATTTCTGTTTTTCACTTTACTAATTTTCCATGTCTAGCCACCAGGTCCTGTTATGTTTGCCTTAGTAATATTTTTTAAATTTGGCACTTTTTTCTAGAGATCCAGGCCCTAGAGTTGTACAAAATCTTCTGACTAGTCTCTCTGTCATTGGACTTCTCCCACCCATCCTTATTAACCAAAACCAAATCTGATGGAGTCACTCCCATGCTTAAAAATGTGTTTTGGCTCCCCTTTCCAAAGTCCAGAGACCTGGCATATCTGTCCTTCTAGGCCCTTCTTTGTAGCCTGATCCTAATGTATCTCTGAGTCCGCACTCAGCTCCAGGTACTTCATCCAAGGCATCTACTGTGAACTGTTTTTCATTTAGAACATGCCATAGCCTCTTGTAGTTCCTTCTCCTTTCACAGCCTTTCTCTCTTGCTTAGATTACCCCATGATACCTCAAGTGATAAGCCTGCATTTCTTTCTTAACATATAGTTCCTTCATTTACGAGTTACTCTTGTCTTTTGTGTGGTACTCATATCTCTGTATTACAGCCATCACTATGATGTGTTGTAAATTTTTTATTTACATGTCTGATTCTTGCATGAGACCCTACTTTCCTAGCGATCAGCAGTTCTTACTCATCTTTGTATTTCCAGGGCCTTTGTCCCTCATCCACTACGTGTCACATAGTAGATGTTTAACAAGTGCTTGTTATTAAGTGATCAAACTATGTAACATAATAATATCCTAAGTGTGCAAGCCTTTAACTCAGTTGTACTGAGTTAGTTTTTTTCCTGTGAGTTAAAAATGTTTCCTATGCCACCAAGTTCTGTTTGCTACCAAACAGGAAAGGGGGTTGGAAAAAATGTTTAGAAATAATGTTTAAAATGGTAGGCAGATTCCTAGTGCAGCCCTCCCCCATCTGTATGATCTGTAATATAGTTAAAATAATAATAAGAGCAGTACTAGCACAAG